ATTCTGTGATTCTATTATTCTATGATTTTAGAAATATGTAGAAATATTGACTTGGTATTGCCTGTTCAGTTAGATTCAGGAGAGAGAGGCTTGAAGTGGGATGTGAAATGTTTTTGGGTGGTAGGTCGATTCCCAGGAGAAGCCTGGGAATTCACACATTCACCTGGACTGAATTGCTGGGGCAGTTGGATGTTGCTGGCTTGAGAATCCCTGAAGCACACTGCACTGCCCGGAATGATGCTGGGCAAGCAGGCTGTGTTCAGCTTCCACCATCTTCTCTTACCACAGTACTGCATAACTGAAAAAGGAAGGAGGCTTTTAAGGAGCAATTTTTAATACAGATGTTATCTGTTGAACACCAGAGGGCATGCTGCCTTCTGCTTGGGGAGAGTCATGACTGCTTTTGAAACCACCAGAGCACTTCCTTATTTTACTGCTCTGTATCAGCAGAAAGTGGGGTTCTATTTGGTTCTCTATGGTTCTGAAATGAACGTTTAAAGTGAAATTTTACCAGCAGAGACCTGAAGATTAGGATGATACCCTTGGTCTTGGGAGCAATTCTCCTTCATATCTGAACACTGTTGTCTTCAAGTATGAATTACAGTACTCTAGAACAATCTAGGTTGAAAAGGCCTCCGAACATCTGAATTCAAACTCACCCACACAAAGAAGGTACACCTGCAAAACCAGATCAGATTGATCAGGCCTTGATCTTGCCTAGTGTTGAAAGTTTTAAAGATGGAGATGCTTCGGCTAGCCTTAAAAATCCCAGAAAGCGTAACACATCTTATAATCAGTGTTCTTTGAGATGTCTGTCAGACATACAGAAACATTGAGTACAAGAATGGACAGCCAGCCATGTCTTTGCAAAGGTGAAATGGTCACTGGGCTCAAACAAGGTGGATATCTACTATTTGCTCTCCTGATACAGGAGAACAGTAGAAGTGCATCAAAATTTGCTTGGGACTTGCTGCGGCGTTGTGATCACAGGTAATCAGCCACACTGGTCCCTTTCAGTCCTCCAAAGGTGTCTGCTGATGGTAGGCACTAAGTTTAATGCATCTGGATGTTAATAGTGACTGCTTAATTTTATAAAAAATATTTTAAAATACGTGCCAGCCTGGGAATTTTGCCACATAAGAGACACAGAAGAAACAAAACTTCTACCTGAGCTAAACTTGAGGCCCTATGGTGAGATCTCAAGTACTGTTTTGAAGTAAAGTGGTTAATCTTGATTTGTAATGTGAACAGAATAAAAATACAAGCCAAAATTATTCATCCTTTTTGCCTCTGTAGTGCTACAGCTTTCTCTTGACCTCAGCTCCAAGTTCACAGGGTTGAGCAGGACTGTGGAGTTCCAGTTCTGAAGACCTTTATCACTCCACCCCTAGCCAAAACTATGTGTTATCAGTCCTGTTTTCAAGCCAAAATTCACAATCCTGCTTTCCCCTACCACTTCACTGCTGCCTCTGGACACTGCTTTTCCTGGATCACCTTTCCCTTCATTTCCCCCCGACAGGCATTGTTCCTCAGTGTGACAAGCTTGACCATGGGGCTCACATTGTTGTCCTCCACCACTTTGTGCCTTGAGAGCCTGTGAGTAGAACAAATAATCAACGGATGACAAAGCCTCATAGAGGATGGAGCAGTGCATGCTTTGTTTTAAACTGTTATTCATTGAACTGTTACTTGGCAAAGCAAATAGCTGCCTTAGCCTGCAGAAGAAAAAAGACTGATCTGTTTTTGTTGTGCCTTCATGGTAGCCTGAAGTTTTGGCAGTCTTGGACTAAATTACCCAGTATCACACCACTGGGAGGCAGAGCAGTATCATCTATGCTTTCACAGGGTTGACCTCCCTGGTCAAAAATGATCAGGAAGCATGTGTCAAAAGCAGACCCAGATTTTAACCGAATAACCTTCCTACAAGTCTTCAGTCCTTATCACAAGGCCGTCCTCTCCACTCATTTACAAAGAAGTACTGACTGCTTTTCCCCTTTCGCACATCCAAAGACTTCTCCAATGTCTTGTCTCCTGGTGTCTGTAATTCACAGGATGGGCATGCATCTGTGCATCAGTTTGCATCATGTGCTCCTTGGAGTGTAGAGTACTGCACAAAGTTCTGGAAGGATGCTGCAGTGCCTTCCTCACCTCCTAACCAGTTGCACTGGAGAGACCTGGTTGGGAATCACAGCCAAAGCTGGCTAGCTGCACTTGCTATGTCAAGCCACAGTTTTATGCAGCAATGCTGAGACAGAGAGATCACATTCATGGGGGTGAGGGGAAAGCAAAATCCTCTGCCTCAGTGCATGGAGGCAACAGGTAGGACTCCATCCCTGTTTATGATGGTCTTGCCCTGCAAAGCCGCTGAAATAACCTTACTACAGGCCTTCAATCTTTACTGCAAGGACATTCTCTGTAACATGGGCCTGGGAATGTTCCTGGTTTTAGTCTTAGAATTTAATAAAACACTGTTCTGTATTGTTAGTGTTGTGTGCGTGTGATATTGAAAGTGCAGGGTTTTAATTTGGACTGTAGTCTCAGTCAGGGAAGTAAGTGGGAGGATTGTGGGTTGATGGAAGGAAGAGTTTTGACCAGCCATTGGATCTGTAAACAGCTTGTGGCTAAACAGTAAGCTTTGTTTGTAGAATGTGAAACCTTTATGTCTTCTTACCAAGCAGAGAAAGCAAGACTTGAGAGAAAGATCTCAAGTCAGTCAAACCCATTTGGGATTTCTGAATCATTTATTCAGTATTGGATAGTGGCACTTCAGATTAGAAACAGAAAATAATTTGTGGTCTCCTCTGTCCTTGTAGAGAGCACAAAGAACTTGGAAAGGGCTTCACTTAGAAATTTCAGTTGATATCTTTACCACAGGAAATGAAGGAGGTTGATTTAAAATGATATAAGTGATAAGCTCTATAAAAGCGATGACTAGATAATTAGTGTTTTTAAGCAACAAAGAGGCCAAAAAAAAACACAAAAAAGACAGTTGTTCACCCAACAAAGGATTGTAGCTGGCTGTATATATGAAAGGTGGCTGTCCATGTGAGGATTTTCCAAAAGAGCACTTTTCCAAGAGTAAGTGTTCTTTTTCCCTGGATTTTTCTTTCTATTATTGTCAGGCAAATTACTGAAAGTGTTGCTTCCTCTTCTAAATTTTGAGCCTTCAAAAGCTCCTCTGTTCTGATGACATAGGTGATAACGACTGACTGCAAACAAATTCAGAGAAAACTGTAACCAGAGCGCCTAACCAAGGTGGGTTTCCTTTTCCTGTAGACTGAAATTGTCCTCGTGGAGAGACCCATGATAGCCGCAGTAAATGTTATCTGCCTAATGCTAGCACTGTGACAGCATGTTAAAATTATTTGAGTTTTGCAACAGAACATGGTCAGTAAGGACACGAAATGTTTTTGGGGTCAGACAACTAACCAAGTGAATTGCAAATTTAACTTGGTTAATTTAATGACTGAGTTTCTATGGTTCTGCTCATCTCTGACAGAGACATTCAGCTATGCAAAGGGAAGGTGGACCAAGGAAACATGCCCAGCTCTCTGTGCTCCCTGGTTCTGCAGAGCAGTGTGGAAGCAGGCCTACTGCCTTAAACATGTCTGAATAGGGAGGTGGAATGACTCATGTACAAATTATTGGAGACATCATATACGTTGAATAGAAATGCAGGACTGCAGGAATGACGTTTGAAAAAGTTCCTTCTGAGAGAGGTAATAAATTAATGCAGCTAAGGGAAGAAAGATAACATTATAGCCATGATGTTTTTGACAGTGAGGCATTAGGTGTTTTTTTCTTTCTTTTTTAGTGAAGCAGAGATGGAGTTCCCTGTTTTAGGAAATCTGTAAGAAAATGGTTGTCTGGGCACATTCACATGGTAGAAAGATAAAATTCCTGACTAACCATAATCACATCTTCCTCTAGGGAGTGGGATTCTAGCGAATCCCTGAAGTTGGAGGTCCTGTAAGAGCCACTGGAAATCAGTGGCTCCTGCCTTCAGAACTGGTTTATCCCCTTAAGCTTATCCTTCAGCATCCTGAGCTGCCTACATAGATTTGTTCAAAGCTCACCTCTGTGTTAGCAAAACGCTGTTATCTTTTGGCCTCTCTTGGCTGAGATTTTGTTCTCTGAGTCAAAAGACCTGCCTGAGTGCAACAGGAAACTGAAATTGTCTCTTGTAGTGTGTGGGTGTGGAGTGAGTCACCTTGGCCAAGGTCGTGCCAATAGCAAACCAACAAGCTCCTGTGGTAGATCAGTGCCAAACCAGAATATGCACTAGATGGAAGAGAATTTTCCTTTCCAGACTGAAAAGAACACAGGCAGGAATTTTCCTTAGATGGATTTTTGTCTTTTGTAAAACTTATATCTGTTCTATTTGGAGACTTTCAAAAGTAGTATTTCAAGGGGGGACATTAGGGTAAAAATAGGCTGTGTGGAACTCCCTAGAACATGTAACTGTTCTAGGCAGTATGAGACAGTAATTTTATCACTGGTTTTAACATTTTGAAAGTATACATAATCTAAGCAGGAATCCCCAAGCCATCCATTTTGGCTCTAGTGCTATGTGAAAATAGGGAGATCTATTTGTAATCAAAAAATGAAGAGAGACAATCCCATGATGAAAAAGTTCTCAGATTCTTTGCTTTATTTTATCTGTCACCATTGTGGGACATGGTAATATCCTGTAGAGTGGTTCAGTCGCAACGGACCCTAAGACCTAACACTAGCTGTGAAACTCTTTAAGTGCTATGTGTCAATACAGGGCATACAGTATGGTCCTCCACTGAAACATTGTCATTGAAAGAGGAAGTTTGCAAAACTAGGTTCAGCAAGTGACATAGAATGTAAGAAACTAGAGAGCCAATCTCTTACTGGGAAAAGAAAGCTGTGTATCTGTTCTGCAAGGAATTCAATTCCATAGAAAAACCATGTGCAGTAATGCTCCAAGATACTCATTAATATAAAGCTTCAGTTAACTTATTTATTTGTTTATTTATTGCCACCACAGGTTTGTACCAGCAATCTGCACATTGCTTCCAGTGTCTGGAATATATAGTTTGTAATCACCAGAAGAAAAGATAGGTGAAGAAAGGTCCTGTGTAGACAAGCTGTTACATTCCATTCTGTAAATAAATCCAGCGAAGTGTTTCCTTGGGCTATGTTGTGGCAGTTATACAGAAGAAGGTATCCATACTAACAACAACTCTCTTGCTCATCACTACGAAGTGGCCAGCAATTGGTTTTCCAGAACTATAAAGAATTCATGTTCTCTTTAGTTTTCCAGGTTCCCGGAAAGTGATGCCCTTTAGATAACAGCTTCGAGTGGAGGTCAGACAGGTGAGACAGCTTTCTCACCATAACCGTACCTTTCTCACCATAACCGTACCTGTAAACAAAAATCTATGTATTGACCATACCTTTTCTCAAAGAACAGAAGCAGATTACCAAGAACATCCCTCCCATCATGACTTGTCAATTGCTTTGGTGAGGCCCAAGGAAAAGTGGCTTATGGTATCTTGTTAATCTTTACCTAACTCCCAGTTTCCTTCCTTAGTAATGACACGTCATGCCTCCCACGTGGTGAGATGTGCAGACCTATTGCTGAAATTTCTGGAAGTCAAGGTCCTCCATGTCTGTGGAGGATTTCCACAGTTACAACTGTGGAGTAAAACCACCATTGGACCTCCTGAATTGTCTTTTTTTCCTCTTTAGCTTACTTAGATGTTTCCTTCTCCTATTCTGAATCTCTGCTTTGCAGAGACTAAAGCAGAGTGTAAATGTATATGTGAGACTGAGACCAGATGAAGTGTTGGTGGGATAGGTTGCAATAAGAACCAATACAGAGTTGAGGGAGAAAATGTGAAAGAAGGGGAAGAGGGAGATTGAAACTGTCTGACTGAGAGAAATTAGTCTGTGGATGGAAAGGAGAGAAATGGAGCTGGAAATGGAACCCAGCTACTTCAGTAGCTGCTTCAGTAGCTGGGTTTGGTGCAGTTAAGAACTAAATAATGGGATTATAAGGTGAGGAATGCAGGATGGGAATGAGGAGGTAATTAAAATGAGTCAAAAATGGAGAATGAGAAGAGAGACCTGACTCAGAATTCTTAAAGACAGTGTGGAACAGGAGGACTCAGGCTTTGGAGCAGGAAAGCGGGAAGGTCTGTGCCTATTGGAAAACTAAGACCAAGATGATACCCAAAATGCCAGGTTTTGTGCTTCCTCTGCTATCAGGAAGAGCAGTGATCAGCAAGTAAAGTGGGGCTCTTAGCTGCCATCAGAGGCAGAAGTGATATGGTTGATTCAGTTGCCTAATCATCAGGACCTGTATCAACTTTGATGTCTTCTATGAGACTTTGATTCCATGAGGTGACCTGAGACTGTTATGGGTTGTGTTTGTCTCAACATCGTTGATGCACCATTTACCTGGACAATGCCCTGGCATCTTATCTCTGGAAAGGTCCCTCACCATTCTCTGGGAAGGTCTCTCACCATCTGCGCCTTGTAACCCTGGCACCTTATCTCTGGGAAGACTGTAATAGCAGCTATCTACTTGGCATTGGAAGATCAAGCTCGAGACCTGAACAATGACAACAATGACAGTGCCCACCAGAGCAGTTTGCGTACGAATCAGGGGTGAAGAGGAATACAAAAAGCACACAGCACGTACAACACGAACAACACCTACCAGAAAACCTCAAGAAAATGGGAGGACCTTTGAGAAGGGGGACCTTTGAGAAGGGGGACATTTCCCCTCCCCGGGAGCAGCGCGGAACATCACCTGCACCAGCGTGCACAGCCTTCTGGCAGCGCGGAACATCACCTGCACCAGGACCTGCACTGAAGCAGAGCCAGCGACACTTAGCCAGACTGCTGGTGGTGGTAACTATAAACTTGTTGCATCTCTCCTGCTGGCCTGCTTATCTTTCCTTCCGTTTTCTTCTTCTTCTTCTCTGTCCTATTTGCGCTTATGAGAATAAAGCTAACAAGGTTGTATGGCATTTGACCCCGTTTGTGTCTTAATCTCGCTCTTGGGATCATATTGAAACCTCCCCCGACACCATATCAGGACACTCAAATGATTGAATACACCTATTTCTAGGCAGCTGAATTTCACCTTGACTCAATCTAGTCCCAGGAATCTACAGAGAGACTCAAAAGCAGACTACGCAGAAGATTAGGCAGGCTCACATAAATGCTTGCATACAGTTTCTTAAATTTAAGCAACTAGGTCTATGGACTGCATCTGAGTGCCAGTCCAAATATCTGTGAAACCTGTGAGGATAGTATTTCTCTCAGTTTTCACTAAAGCAAGGCTACAGAGGAGATGCCGATGTATTTTTTTCTGTAAATTGCTCTCCTAAATCAAGTGGCTGTGATCCATGGCAGAACAAGAGATTACAACTGACTGGTGCCTGAGGCTGTGCTTCTCCATGAGGAACTCTCTTGTTCTTCTATTTATTTTTTCAAATCCTACAAAATCAGACCACATTCTTCAAAGCCAGGGTGCTCTACTCAGTAAACCAAGTTGGGAAATGCCAGACTTAAGATTTTGTTCTTTGCTGCACAACCTCGGTTCTTCTGCAGAGCAGGTGCATGCTGTGGGAAAGAAGAGAGTGCATCATGTGATTAAAAACAACGGCAGGGTGCAAATATGAGGAGTTTCATTTGGGCTGCATCAATAGCCTTATTTAAAGCACTGTCTGCCAAAGCAATGCTTGGGTATTCTGCTTTAATAATGCTTTTTTTCCCCTTCTTTTTGGTCTATACCTTGTATGTTTAGAATGTCATTTCTACATTAAATTTAATTAGAGAGCGGGTGTTTGAAGTATGTGGTTGAATACTCACAGAATCACACAGGATCTCAGAATGATTGAGGTTGGAAGGGACCTCTAGAGATCATTTAGTCCAACCCCCCTGCTCAAGCAGGGTCACCTAGAGCACATGGCAAAGGGTCACATTCAGGTAAGTTTTGAAGATCTCCAAAAAAGGAGACTCCACAACTCATACTGGAGTAACCTAAGGAGCAAAGGAACCTTCATGACATCACTTGGCTCTTGTGACAAAAAACAGCTCTGTCTTATGTAGCTTTAATGGTCATGCCTTACCCTTGGAGGCCAGGAAGGCTGGACTGGATCCTCAGTTGTAGCAGGATGGTCTAGGAGCACAGTAAACTGTTTTCCAAACTGCAGGCAGAACATGGAGAAATAAAGCAAAGTCCTCTGCTTTTTGTGACACTGTATTCTTCTGAGGCCTCCTAAGTATTGGTATGGACACTTGTGTGAAGGGACATGCCATGAAAATAATGTTGACTGAAAAGGCAAGTCTTAAAGTACAGAAATAGAGGACAAAAGTTCACTGTGAATGACAGGAGTAAATTTCTTGTGGGGACTGTTCCACATTCAGGTCTTGTTTAATTGTGGTGCTTCTTTGGACTTGAACCAGTCCAAGGGCAAGCTGAGGGGGGCTGAAGCGCAGCCCTGTTCACTGTTCATTTACAATGTATAGAGCTCCCCTCTGTTTTGTTCATCTTACCTTTTTGTGTTTAGAGAGCCTTAAAGGGGGTTCAATGGACAAAAAAAAAAAAAAATCCTTCCCAAATCCAGCTTGCAGGCTCCTCCAACAGCAACTGTGGCCACCCTGCTGCTCAAGTCCTCCTCTTTCTGCTGCGGAGAGACGACAGCCCTCTCCAATAGATCTGCTGTGCCCGGAGAGGCACGTAAGTGTAGGAATAACGCAGGTAGTGCCCAAGTGTTTTAAAGAGGGACAAGGAGCAGTGAAAGAGCTATGCCAAAAAGTGCTTTATTGTAGTGAAGTTACACAGGACACAAAACAATACTCTCTCTGCTCTGGGTCCAAGGCTACACTAAGCCATAAACATGGAGTTAAGTACTAACTAAATACAACATCCTATATGTACAAACACATTGCACTTCTAGTCATTTTTTATAAGGTTAAGGCTGCTGCCAACATTTTTATCCTTTTACAAATGAGGTGCAGACTTAGCTCTTTAAAACTGGAACACAGACTGTTTTTTTTTAATATTTATTTATCTATTTATTGCTCATAAAAATAAACCTAGAGATACTAATTCTTTCACCTGCCCAATATTTAGTCTAAAAGCACCTCAGGCCAGGTGACCTTTACTTCAGACTTTCCCTTTTAGGGCTCCAATAGCTCTAGATCATGGTTCAGGATACAATACTAATGCTGGTTAGTGGGCAGATTTTTCTCATGGCTGCTAAGCAGGAAGAGAGAATGGCAGAAGGTCTGAGTGCTATTTCCAAAGAGTGTAGAAATGGCTTTGATGAAAAAATAGGATTGCATCAGATAGACACACACATATGACAAATGGCATGGAGTCTGTACCCATACAGAAAGGTTAAGGAAGGTGGGACAGGTTTAGAACTTGCCATTTTAGGAATTGTCCTTTTAGGTATATAAATACAACACTTCAGTAACTACTGACTAGATTTCCTACACAACAAGTTATATTCACTTACATATTCACTTACATTTTTACAGAATAATACATAGTGCCTCTTTTGGTGGAAAAACATGGCACATCAAGCTGACAACTTCAGACAAGTTCCTCAATCAAAAAATGCTCACTCACAGCTTATTTTTTGTAAAGTCTTACAAAGAATGCGCAAGACATGTTTTACAATATTTACTTTGTAGAATGCAAAGAGAATAGAAGAACTATTTAAACATAGGACTCTTTTGCATACTGGATCTGGTCTACTTCAAAAATGGGCTGGCTGCACCTCCGAGCCACGTACTTGTGTTTGTTGGATTGTTCACAGGATTCAGACATGGCCCTCAGACGATAAACTCCAGGAGTCACAGGTAGGCTCACACGGGAGTTTATTCCAACAGCAACATTGTGGGTTGCATTTTCTCCCTCAGAATGTGTTCCTGTAGAAACTCGGCCACTGAGTATGTCCCTTTGAGCCACATACGCTATATTCTGTGCGCAGCTGGTGCATGAGTAAGGTGGCAAAGTATCCTCCTTTGACATTGTTGATCTCAAAGTTTGAACTGTAAGACTGTAGGAGGGAGCCTGAGTGAACAAGCAGTTTTTTGTAGCCTCTTCATAAGAAGGTGGTCTTCCAGGATTCCTCTGGTCCACCTCTCTAAACACTTCATCGGCTGACCTGAAACGGGGCCTTTGCTGATACAAAGGTTTGTTCTCATCAGGCCTGTCTTCCTGCACAATTCTGCAGGAGAACTGACTTCCTTTCCTTGTAAAGCTGTCTCTTGGAAAACCAGTGCTTTTTCCAGGCCCCCAACTCTGGGTTTTTGTTAGTGTTTTCCTGCGATTTGCAAAAGAGAAAGACATGGAGTGTTTTTTGATCTCTCTGCTCACTGTGCTGCTGTTCTCCATGGGCTTGGCTGAAAAAGACTGGGGCCTGTTTAAAAAGGTTTTTTTGGGACTAGTTGGTGAATCTAATGGGGAGCTGATGAAAACTGAGCCCTCAGAACCAGAGAAGGAGCTCTCCAGGGAGCAACTGGAAAATGATCTGGGTAGTGAGTCATTTGATAATTGTGAAGGCAAGACTGAAACTTGTTTTTCCAATGCCTTGTTCTTCAGCCTGAGTTGTCTCTGCAGAACAGGAAAATTGTCCTCACTTTTGGTTAGCTTCTGATCTCTTATTCTGCCTTCCAAGCAATTCTCAAAGGACAGGTCTGGCTCTGAGTATCTCCTGTCCATTGTGCTGACATCATTTGTAAAGTGAGGCAGCGAAGGGGCAGAGACACATGTTGGATATCTTCTGCTCATGATGGTGCTTCTCCCTTCCGGCTGCTCAGTCTCTGAGGTACAGGGGCTGCATTCAGCTTCAGCATCTGGGCTACCATGGGCAAAACCATTCTGCTGAGTAGCCTTTGGGTGTTCTGTGGTGAGAAAGAGACCATTAGATGACCACCTGAAGGGAAAAGGGGCCTTTCTTAGTGCAAATTTAGTATGTATAGTCTTCTGGAGAGGTTGAGGAAGCACAAGCGCCACTAAGGGCAATAACCTGGCTATACCAGCTTTTGTAAATCTGGCCTGTACTTCATTTGGGGCTGTCATTTGAATCTTCTGAGAAGTGTTCCAGCAGCAAAACCGTTCAAACGTGTACTGAACCCCATGCACCTCTCTGCATTTCCCCATTTGTCTTCTGCTATCCAATTCAAGCACTAGAAGCAACAACCCTGGTTGTTGACAGTTGCCAGTTCACCCTCTTACCTGTGGAACTGCCTGTGCGCTGATGGGACTCCTTCTCTAGGCGGCTGAAATTCAAGGCTGTGTCCTCCCCAAACACTGCTGCCCAGTTGTCTATGAGGAACTCCACCAACACTGTCACCTGCACACAGAAAACCCTTTCTTTCAGGTCAAAGTGATGAAAATGTCTTGTACATTTTCTTCCTGCTCCTGACTGCCCTTTCTGCACCAAAAGAGGTACTCTGTGCTGCAGCTCCATGAAGCTACTCCATATGAGTTTAGGAGCTGAGGCAGTGAGATGCCTTTGGCCACAGCTGTGCTTCGTGGTGAAGGGCAGCACAGGACAGCGTGACTTTTGTGAGAAGATTGGCCAAAAGTCAGAGCCAATGTCTACTCTGGAGTGTGAGAGCTGACACCGTAGATTGGTTGGGCTTGACACAAACAGCATTAGCCACAGCTATGTCCATGTCAAGCAGGGTAAGGAGGATAGCTATGCCCACAACCTGTCCCTTGCTGTCTACATGTGCTGCACTCAAGCTTTGGTGTGGAGCAGGGGACTACAAGGCAACTGCTGAGGTTGCTCACAGGAGGTGAGGGGAGAGATTTTTCTGTCACACTGCAGATAGCCCAGCTGAGGGACACCTGCAGTACAGAGTTGCTCCTCCATTTAGCTTTTGCCCTGGTAGTGGTATATGAGTGGGTGGCTTTCATTTGCGCTGAAGAGGGTAGCTAGCTGCTGTGTTCAACATACCTTGTCATTCATCTCTTTTTGCACTTCCAGCGGGAGCATGTTGCTTGTATCTGGGCTCAGCATGTTTGGCCCAATACAGATTGCAAGGTTACTGGAGTCCATCCTGTTGGTCTGAGCACTTTGGCTAATGCGGTGGAGCAGAGCAAGCAAATGCTTGAGCAAGAGAAGATTTGGCCTGGGTAGTTTGTCAGCCACCCTAATGAACACAAACAAAACATTGCATGAATTCAGGGTGCAGGGGCTGCTACTTCTTTTGGTGGTCAAGTTAAACTAACCCAAATAAGGCATCCTCCAAGAAGAGAACCGCATGTGTTTTTTGGCACTACTTTACACAAGTACACTTGAGAAATCTCTGACTGCGGCTGAGCACATGGTCATTTATAAGATCTTGAATGACAAGATCTTGACTAAAAGGCGAGCATTACAGCAAAGTCCATGTTTTTTCAAGAGATGAACAGCACTAATAGAGGAGACTTTCAGAAAACTGCACTGCAGGCTTTCCAAAGGAACATGAAAGTCTGCGGTTGTTTTCTGCAGCTTTCAAGGCATCCTAAGTCAGCCTCCAAATGTTCTGCTTCTGAAGAACACAACATGGTGCTGATGTCCAAACATCTGGCTTCCCACCCACTGAAGTGATAGTTTGCTGTTGGTGCCTAGCTGCCAACATAGCGACTACATAACCAGAAATACAGCATCCTCCCTCCTGTTATTATAAGTGTTTCCAGAGTAATCCCAAAAAAACTTGTGAAAGTGTTATTGTTAGAGAAGTGATTTTACGTGTCACTTTCCTGCTAGCAAGCTGATAGAGATGACATTTTTTTCCCTGGCCTCCACTAGTCTATCTGTAACGCTGAGACTGGCTACAAAACTTACTCTTTCAAGCCTTCAATTTTTTCCTGCTTGGCTGGCTTCTCCAGAGCTAGGATCCACCTCTCGTACAGATCGGCCGACAGGAGTTTGGAAGGGATATTTCGGAGGAAGTCCTGCAAGACCAAGATACTTAGGTGAGATTTGGTCAGCACCCCTCAGTCCAGAGGAAGCATCGCTGGAAGTTGGGCTCTCTAGGAGGCAGACTGGTTTGAGCTACCTGCTCTCAGAGGTGCTCATGACCACTAGCAAAGCAGTGAGTTGCATGAGTACATGCCAGGTTACACTGATATTAGCGCAATAGCAGGATCTAGCACCTATCAGCTGCCTGTGCACCCCAAAATCTCAGTATTCCCCCCGAGAAAGATGCTGAGGAGGAAAAGTGAGTTGCCCATGGACATGCAAGAAATGAGTAGTAGAATAGGAAGAACAGAGAGTCAGGTGGAAAAAGCAAACACCAAGCTTGCCTAAGCCTGAAACATTTAGTTTAGCTTCATGGTAGCTTTGGCTTTTAGTCCCACCCAGCCCATCTAGACACTCAAGTGGTCCCATGCAGATTTTCAGTGTACCATCACAGCTCAAAAGCTGTGAAAGAGGAATTCACCTTCAAGACCACAGCCAACAGGTGCACTGATTTGCCCTCCAGATCAACATGTATGCCTTTGTTTAGGTCCTCCTTCAGCTCCTTGCGGGCCTTCTCATTGGCAGCTTTTCTGAAGATCCCCTCGGTGGAAGGGCCTGCCCTATACAAGATAGCTAGGAGATCCTGCAGAAAAAAAAAAAAAAAAAGGAAAGAGAAGGGAGAAGAGTTATTTCGGTGAAGACAGGCCTTTTAGTAGGTGAGCATTTGTTTGGAAACAGAAACAACTATTTCACTAGATGGTGCCTTCTCCTTTGCTTGGGTTGGGATCAAGTTCTTGCTCCATGTAGATCACATAGCTAACAACCTCACTGTCCTCCAGACTTTTTCTGAATTCCACTGACTTCAGTGGAGTCACCCCTGATTCTTTCCAGAAGGAAATAAGGGATGGATCAAGCTGTTAGGTTTGAATCCCTTCCTTCCCAAGCCAGGTTGAGTACCCATCACAGATTGCTTAGGAGAGAAAAAACCTCTCTAGTGGGAAAGCTAACTCTGTGAGGAAACTGTCACAAGTTTCTTGTTAACCAGAAGACAGAGTTTAGGTAGTTAGTATTTATGCTGCAAGATAGGGTTTAGGTAGTTTTCAATGTCAGTCTAAGACTGAACCCTTTGCTCAGGGAAATGCAGAAATCCCTGATTGTTTATTGTTGATGAGAGATTCCTTTGCAGGGCTTCTGTAAGACCACAACATGCACACTAGGGAGCAGATCTGCTTCGCTACTTCCTGGGTCTGGGGCATCTCCACTCCAAAGTGGAACTTCCTGCAGAAGTTGTGTGGACTGTACTGAACCCAAAACCTGACTGCTTTAAATTTGGGATGGGACCTGAACTTCAGGCCTTGCTGTTCAGAACTGGTCAGAAGTGTGTGTGGAGGGGAAACACCAAAATCCCCTGTCTCCTGAGAGCCACAACCCAAGTGCTAGGGATGCGAAAAACTAGAAGCAGGAAAACTACAGCACCAGGCACACTTACCTGGATTGGTTGGGGCAGTCTTTCATTGTCCTCACAAATAATTGCCAGAGGCTGGCCAAAGAGAGGGATCTTGAGGCCAGAATCTAGCTGCCCTGGGCAGTCTCCATTGGTAGAGGTTCGTCGCAGAGCAAATGGCCATGATATTACCTTCTTTCTTTTCTTATTTCCATCTGCTGCAAGTAAAATGAAAGCAAAAAAAAACTGTTAAAAAAAAAAAAACAGGGCAAGAATGCCCTGCTGCCTTTTGTCTTTGTGCAGTGCCATGTGATATGGAATGAAGAGCAGAGATGTACCCTGAAAAAGCCACACAAAGTAAAAAGGGAGAAACTGAAAGAAAACTAAGAAAAACTAAGTGGTTTCTAAGGAAACAACCACCTCAACTGAAAACTGTGACCATCTCTCTAAGGACACCACCTTTCCTGTTTTTTTAACATTCTCCTCACTGCTTGCTTTCAGAAAGGAGAAACATACAAGGCACAGAAATAACCATGAAGTATTTTACATTTACAGAAGCTTTTGGCATCAGAGAGCAATAACTATTTAAGGCTGATGTGTCACTTGGGCAGCTTGCACTGACAGCAATTTTCACAGTTTGATATGTCCCCGTCTAAGTTAGAGCAAGAGTGGAAGTAGAGGCTGCTGTTTTTCAGTCTCTAGTGTAGGGTGACTTGAAAAAAACATCCCTCCTGCTCTGCCAATGCAGCAGTAGCTGTGCTGTAACAGCAGTGCCCCTATTGTGGCTAATGTGGCTTTATCTTGTCCCTGCTAGACCACTCAGTGGATTGTTCCAGCAGATGAGAAATCCACACTCAATCCTCATTGGCTCACAATTCCAAAATCTCTTAGCATGGGATTTATATCTGCATCTTAAAGGGTGCACGAGGAATTTGGAAAGGTTTGTTGTATTGAGTTGTGGGCTTTTTCTCCCCTTCAGAAACTGAGGAATGGATTCACTTGCTAAACAGCTTTCTAAAGAAGCTGCCTTCTGCAAATTTCCTGTAAAGGAGTTGCTTCCTGCTTTACAATGAAACTACCCTATTGAAGTAGAAGTTCTTGGAGCCTGTATTTGAGGCACAGCACAAATCCTTGTTAAGAAAAGGTTAAAATCCATGAGACAGATGCCTAAAGTTAGTGTCATATAAAACTTTTTCCCTCTTCTGATGCTTCTGACAGAGAGTTGGAACTGACAGCTTACTCCAAATCTAGTCCTGCCCTGCTGCATGTCTCCTCTAGCATGTTTACAGGACCAGAGGTTTTGTATGCTGAGAGGAAAAAAAAACGGTGCAGCTGCTGCTGCTGCAGAGAGGATTTATTTGCTGTGGCGTGTAACCGCTGGTGCCTGTACTCACTCTCAGTGCCGCACCTCGGCGCTGACACTTACTGGAGAAGTGAGTGCTTAAACGCCCTATTGCTGCCAAGAAATACAAATAAACCCAGTACTGAGGTATATCCACCACTCTGGTGCTCAACACTATCATCACTGCCACTGGGCACTCAGGAGAGCGGTCATTTCAAAATGAGTGGCAGTCTGGGGGTTAAGCTGTCTCCAGGTTTACACTGAGGGCTCTGAATTTCTCTGAATAAAGTGACACAGGCAGTTTTGCTGAAGGGCTAGATTGCAAGAGTTAGGGAAGAAAGACAGCTCCTCCTTTTCTTTTACAAACTCACCTGTCAAGCGACAAAGTCCCTCTTCAATTTCTGATGGAACCAAGAGGGGGCATTGATTGGCCTCGGCCTGCAAGAAACACGCACAGGTTATAGAGGCGCCCACAGCAGCAGGAGGGCCCCAAGTGAGCTGCTTCAGCAGGGCCCCCATGTGCCAGCGGCTCCAGGGAAAGGGCAGAGCTGCTCAGAAAGCTGCCAAGGAGATGGATTGTTCTGGGAACAAAACAGCCTCTCTGCCCGCCAGAGGTGCTTGTGGCAAAGCTTCATTCTGCAGGCAGCAACCCCAAACCAGCCCAATAAGCCATAGACCCATGGGATTCCAGGCTGCTGCTGGACACAGAGAAGGCAGAGCCCCGTACAAGGCACCCCATGGTGGCAGAAGGGGTTCAGGCAGTCTCTGTCTTCCTCAGGTTGTCCCGCAAAGTTGTCCGCAAAGGGTTCTGCTCACTCCTGGGCATGGCAGGCGGCGGGCAGCCCCTCGTGGCCCCCTGCTGCGGCCAGCAAGCCGGCTCCTTCGCTCTGCACCCCACAGGGCCCCGGGCACCTCTGTTGGAGCCTCCCCCCGGGGCCAAGGGCACCCACCAACATCCAGTCAGGGCTGGGGGAAATGTCAGGGCTGGGGGAAGTGCTGGGACAACTTACCTCTGACTGGCACTCGATCAAACTCTCCATGTTCCCAGCATTTAGTGTCTTTGACTAGGCAAGAAAACAAAGCCTGAACGTGAGTAATTTGATGCTGTAGTTTAGAAATCAGTGCTTTCAAAGTCACTCTGTTGACAGAGCTGAAACAGTCAAGACACTCACAGTATTACAGCTGCTTAACACTTTCATTAGGAGTTTGATCGAGGGAACTCTGGTCACTCTGGTTTCCTTGGGCCCTTTTGTTTGCCTGTTTGTTGAACAGGGAATGGACAAAGAAAGACCTCTGTAACACTGAACCCTTATTTTCTCTCCCCTGTAAGAGAGCCTAGTATTTAAATATGATCCCGAAACAGCAAGATATCCCATATAAGTCAATCAGAAAGCAACCTTCATTGAAAGCCTGTCTCTCTAATGCACTTAGTCCTGCTGCTGTATGTCCCTCTTTCTATTAAAACAGAAAATCCTTCCATTTTCAATACATGCAACAAAAAATGAGCAGGTGGTGAAAGCTACACAAGGTTGGTGTTAATTTGCAAACACAAGTCAAAGCACCTCAGTCAGTTCTGCCTAAGATACACACAGCAGTGGGTGTTTCTATCCCCCACCTACATTTCTGTAAATTTATGTATAGCTATAATCTGGAGCACTCCACTGATTTAGACTGTTAACGCAGCAAATTTAATCCCGGGCAGTACTTACCCGAGGAGTGAGTCTAGCCAGAGTTCCTTCCCCTCTCGCGAACTGCTGAGAGAAGGAGAAACAGCATCAGCCCCGGCTGCTACTAATCCTTTGGACAGACACAGGCAACTAAACAGTTCTACCCCACGTGTGCTGCATTTTATAGGCAGGACAGAGGCAGGTGGAAATTTGCAGAGACAGGAAGAAGCATCATGGGGCAGGACAGAGACGCCGCAAAACTTCCTCTTTCCTTTTAGAGGAGTTACTTTTCTTCAAGAAAAAAAAAAAAAAAGGTAAGCCCTTGTATCTGTTATGCACGGAAAAGATGAGACATATGCCAGGTAAAGGTTCCATTTAACATCTTCGTCAAGAGGCGGGGTGTGCAGAGGGGTCTGTGGTGTGAGCAGGTTCATGTTGTTAAAGGGCAATGGGTACTATTCATACATTGACCACTCAGAGACTTTACATATAAGTTAAAAGAGGCACTACTCGATCAGGTTTGGCCTTAAATTACTGAGAACAGGTGAAAAGGAACATGGTAGGAATAGGCAAGATTAAAAGGAATGTTTTTGAATGCTAAAAAAAAAGTAAGAACTACATCTGTCTTAAAGCAACATAGACCCACATTTTTGAAGGTTCCTGTGATTTCTTTTAAGCATTAGACTGCTTGGGAATGGATTACATGAAAAAGTGATGTAGGTTTGTGAGCTTTTCATTGGTGAAGATGAATAAAATTGAAAAAGATAGACCTCCTAAAAAGCAAAAGAAAACTAAAATTTCTAAATGTTATTCTAAATAAGTGATATGATGTAACGAAGCAACAATGTATAGCAATAGGTAATTAGAAGTCATGATTAAAATATTTTTTAATAAGAGCTATGTATCTATGTATTAACAGAGTTTAATTCAGCTGAAGAGGTCAAAATATCCAGGCAAAAGCTCCCTCTGTTCTCCATTTTCTGCTCGGTTCCTCTACCCTTCAGGGTCTGTTACTTCAACCTAGGCACTTAACTTCTTCGCTTCCATTTAGCCATCAAAAACATGAGGACAGCAGTAGTGACTGTACAGGGCAATTATGAAAAGTCAGCAATATTCACAAAATGTAGATGGTCCTTAGATAGGAAGATCTATTATGTGAATCTAATTTATTGTGAAAGAGAGGAAGAGGAGTCACTTCTTTCTTTTCCGCGTAATTGAGCCATACTCTCACTTCTGTCTTTAAATTGTTAAAACAGTGGATGGGCAGGAGCTACAGTCTCTGCTTGCCGCAAGCTGGGCCAGAATGCCTTAACCAGTCTGCTCCGGTGGGAGTCATCTGAGCAAATGCAGATGGTTGTTACAGGAATGGTCTGCATGCAGGACACTTCCCTTGTAGGAGCAGATAGAGTGAGTGGACAGGACAGATGAGCCACACTTTTACAGGATTCATTTCTCTCTGTGGACTACAACATGAGTCCAGCTGACAGACTTAGATTTTGCCCTTCTACACTATAGGTATCTAAGTCTGGTGAGGTGAATGCTGCCCAGTGCATCAATATGTTTGCAGTCGTTTCTTTTTTTTTTTTTTCCTATATATTTTTTGACACATTTTTATTTTATTTTCAACATTTTACAGTGTGTATTCCACAACTAGTTCTCAAAAAAAGGAACTGTATACTGATATAAATGTAATGGAGCTCTCTGTCAGAGGAGAGTCTGCCCAAAATGATAAAGATCCCTCTTTCTTTGTGCAGCATCCTGCTCCAAATACTCCTGATTATAACTGGACTTTCTGGCAGAAATAGTAATCACGAAAACACTGTACATATAATTTACATCTAGTTTCATTATTGCATAGAGTATGCTATAAGCAACATAACTGTATAGAAGAGAGATGGAATTCAGGCTTTAAGTAATTTAGATCCATATTCTCAAAGACACAAATTCACAATGATTTTATGAACATAAATGACTTGAGGGTGTGACTTGAGGGTTTGACTGATTCCTCGGCAAAGCTAAATTGCTACATGGTATCCTGGATATTTGTCTTTTGATCCAGTAAAAGAGGGACTAAGGCTGTGAATAAAGGACTCAGGAACATGTCAGAAGCAGATTTAGCAGGAAAGAGGCTGGTAGAACTAATCTCTCTGCCAGTGTTCCCAATGGATGCTGTGTTTTACGTGTGCAGGGGAAGAGGCTGTGTCATAGTACAGCTCTTTGCAAATGTAGATTGTGGTTACATCCGCTGCTGAATTCATCCTGAAAGCTGCTCTTTGCCTAACCTTATCAAATCTAGCCTGTTCATTATCGCTCCCAGTTTATCATATAATATGGATACATGGTCTCAGCTCAGTTCTGTTTGGCAGAAATGCAAGGTAGAAAATTCCTGTTTGGTTATACAGAGATGGGTTCATAAGGGTAAAAGGAGAGCTGACCTGCTTTTGTGTGGGGACATGGTTTAGATAACCTTTCAGGTTTTGGTAGGGTCTGTGATTTCTGTGTGTCTGTATAGACTTGTTTAGAGATTAAACTTACATGAATCTATCACAGAATCACAGAATGGTTGAGGCTGGAAGGGACCTCTAGATATCATCTAGTCCAACCCACCTGCTCAAGCAGCAACACCCAGAGCACATGGCACAGGGTGGCATCCATGTGGGGTTTGAAGATCTCTGAGGAAGGAGACTCCACAAACTCTCTGGGCAGCCTGCTCCAGGGCACTGTCACCCTCACAGTAAATCAATAACTAATAATCTAAATCAGTAACTGTACAGCTGGGTACATTTAACACTAATCTGCTTTCTTGTAATTGATTTTTTTTTAATTAACAGTCCTATGAGGTTTTAAAGCACATGTGTCATTTCCCTAATAAATTTCATGGACAAATTCACATTCATATAGAAATATAGCCATACTGCATTGCATTATCTAAGGATTTCTTCTGAGGCTCCCTGGTGGCTACCAATAGCACCCCTGTTGATAGTCTGTGACAAGGAGTGTGTATTTTTTATAGCATGTCTGTTAAACGTGTATTTAAACTTATGTTCCTCAAGTGTCTAGGACCTATATGATTCAGGTCTTAAATGTAATAGTAATAGAGTAAATCGTCATGGTCTAATCTGCCTTATCCTGCAGCACTGTATGTAGATATATTGCTGACCTCGACCTGTTTCATGCTTAAGGTACAGGATTTGATCCAGAAAATGTGCAAATTTTGTGAAGAAAATGGGAGTTTAATGGGTGATGTTTAGCTGAGTCAGAAGCTTACATTACAAACAGACACACAGCTGTGCCTGGGGCAAAAGACTCTTGAGTTTCCCAGGAGGAAAAGGTATTTTAATGAGTGGTGCATTGACAGTACATTACTAGTTTGTCAGATGGCACTCATTGCTATATCTCTGTCTAATTAGTTTCTTTTTTCTTTTTTCTTTTTTTTTCTTTCTTTTTTTTTTTTAGATATTGTGGCCATTGTATGGGGAAGGTATGGGACAGACCTGCCTGTATACATGGAAAAAATGTTTTTATTTATTATCCTCACTGTATTATTTATTTTTGATAGCTTTCACATGGCTTGTATCACAAACACTTAACTCATGCCAAAATGATTTTAAAATAGCTTATTTCATTGGAGACAAACATGCCTCATCTGAATAGCAGGCATCCTAAACAGTGATGGCTCCATGGAGTAAGTATTTTATGGCCACATACAATGTAGCTTAACTGCAGTTATAAGAAAACAGCAGCAATCAGTTACCATGCCCTGGTTCCGGTAAGGCATCACAGAATGTGCTTAGTCCTGATACCAGAAAAGCCAGAAAAGCCATTGTGGGTCCAGTTCTCAGGCAGTGCCAGGTGGAGAGATGGGATGAACCACACAGAGTGAGCTGCCCACACACCTACCAGCCAGAGAAGTTTTACAGCTTTCTCCCAGTGTGCAAAGGGTAACACAGATGTGGCCCCCTGCATTGATCTCCATATTAAAATGTCCTGTCATGTGAAATGTTTACAAGTAAAAGCCTTCTTGCAATTTCACTGGAGAGACCAATTCCCTCTCTACCAACCAGATACACTTCAAAAACTCAAAGTCTACCCACCAATCTGACACAAATCTGTACCATGATACACCAGAGCAATGTATGTTTTGTACCACACCACTTTCCCTGGGGTGAGCAGAGTCCATGGCAGACAGCTTGTGCATGCCTGGAGCTATCTGTTGGTGTTGTTTTTCTTCCAAGTTAGTTCTGACTAAGTGACTGCTCTGTCCTTTGGAGACATGGGCACATTTACACAAATGGTCATGGGAGAGGGGGTATACTTAAAAGGGGTTTGTGGGTTTAGCCTGTGTATGAGCTTTTCACCTCCTGTAAATCAAGTTTATTCCTTCACTTCTGTTGAAGGCACATGGGGTTTGGCATTCCCTGGAGGGAAAGCAGGAGCTCCAGGGCTCCCGCAGAGCAGCTGACCTCAGGAAAATTCATACCTCTCTTTGTGTTTGCTGCTCAAACCGTGAAGCATTTTCCTTGCAGAAGCCAAGGCTGCTTTTGTGGTGCACACCCAGGCACTTTGTCCAGCTGGTTTCAGAAGCCCTAGGTCAGAGGACTTGCCAACACAGACCAAATGGCAATTTTCCCCTTTTTAGCTGTTTTCTAAGTGTTGTCCCTTTCCTACAACTCTCCTACTGTAGCTCAGTGAAGGACTCCAGGCCATAAAAAGGAAGAGGCAGCTTCAGCAGGGAAGAGAAGTAGAAACAAAAGAGCAGAGATGCAAGTCGTCTGCTGTAGCTGGAAAGTGTCTGTTTTTGTTCTCTCCCTATCAAAACACTAATAGGAAAATCCCAGCCATGACACACTTGTGTTGATTTCAATACTACTTCACAACTTTCACTGCTTTCACAACTTCTTGATACTATGGCTCTTAAAAATGAGGGAGTGTGTGAATGAATCCCGAAATCTGCCTTTCTCCTACTATCTTACTAGAAAGAAAGCTGCAGAGGTTTAGCAGTGATAAGCATAAAACAAGACGCATATGAACCAGTGACTCTTTCAAGACCTGGATTGAAATTAGATTATAT